ACACACATCCTACTGTATTAAAAAAATTATTCCATTATTCCATTGAATAGGAGATCAACAAAGATAGAAACAGCTGTCTTCCATATACTGGCTTGCTCCCTAAATACCTGCGACAGCTGGGGTTGGGCCAGACTGCAGCCGGGAAGCTCCAGCTTAGTCTGAATCACCCACATGGGTGGCGGGGACTCAACTGCTTGAGCCAGTGCAGGCACACCAATTCTGGCACTCTGATAAGGGAAATACCACCCAAGCAGAGCTTTAACCACTGTGCCAAATGGTTATCCCCATGTGCAGAGTTTTAAAAATTAAAAATAAGCTTTATTTGAAAGGCCAATACACAAACACAGAGAGAAACCCTTGGTTTTAATCAGTCTAATTCTAGCAGATTTTTACAATATAGAAGGTGAGTTTGATGCTGTCTAAGCAGAATATATGCACTGTTTGGCCTGTGGCCTGTCAGTTTGCTACCCCTGAATTATAGCATGATTCTGAACACTCAGAAAAGCTTTACAAATACTACTTATTGGATTAAATGATGCTTATTGTTTTATAATGGCTCCACTGCTTTGAAGGACTATTGTGGATAGACTGTGTGTAATATGATGTAAGATGTGTAAGAACATTCTCGTCTGTTAAAAGCTTTGTCCCTTTTGAAGGAAGAGGCATGTACTGATAAAGAGATTACCTGTTGTCCTAGAATCAACAGACTTGGATATTGAATCTTTACTGCTGTGTACACAAAAGTCCTTAGGATCACTTTCTAAGTTAAAGAGCAGTGATAACTGCGTAGTAAGAGAATGCCTATTGAAGACATTTGAAAGAATGATACAGTGAATCGTTAGGATACCTGAGTGCCTTGCAGTTAAGGCACCTTTTCTCTTTCTTTCTCTCTCTCTCCCTTTTCTTTCTTTCTTTCTTTCTTTCTTTCTTTCTTTCTTTCTTTCTTTCTTTCTCTTTCTTTCTTTCTTTCTTTCTTTCTTTCTTTCTTTCTCTTTCTTTCTCTTTCTTTCTTTCTTTCTTTCTTTCTTTCTTTCTTTCTTTCTTTCTTTCTTTCTTTCTTTCTTTTCTTATTCTTTGGAACTGGAGTAATCTTTGATTCTTTTTTTCTCCACCTCTCCCAAATATTATTGATATAAGGTCCTGTATTTCTTCCATTTCATTCCTGTAGGTTACAACCTAGTTTAAACTTTCATTACTCTTTATTGGGACACCTATACTACCCCCTAACTGACATTTGTATTTCATGTTTAGAACATCTCCTATTTTGTTGTTGCTGTTATTTTATAAGATCTACATTGTGGCTCACAAATATACTCTGGTTAAAAGCAAAAGTGCATGTGCACACACACAGGGAAATTTTTTTCACTTGTACAACATCTTGCAGAGCAGATTCTGTGGTGTGGAACTCCAGAATCGTCAATGTTGTATTTTCTGAGTCCTTCCAGAGTGAAATCTGTTTGGTCTCTGCTTGTTTCAACAGACTTTGTCCACTCTCTTCCCTTTCCTCATTCTATCGGGAATGGTCACTGAATCATTTTCCTAGTTTTTTTCATTATTCCATTCTCTTACTATGTGTGTTGTTTTCTCATCAGGCCTGTAGGCGTTTCTTAAGATAGTCGCTTTGTTTTCTTGCTGTCTTTGAGAGTTACATGTTTGAAGGTAATTCAGAAAGTTTGCAGAAAATGGAACTAAAAGGAAAAACTTATTTTGGTGAAAAAAATTTAAAATTCATATATATGAGAGATCTTTAGAAAGGTCATAGAAAATGTATTATAAAAAATGCATAATTTTTAGTTTTGGCACCAAAATGAGTGTAGCTTCTAATTTAATTTTCCATAAACTTGTTGCTGTGTATTAGTAGATATTTGACCAACATTTCTGAACTTGATTGTTACTTCTTATTTTTGCATTGATTTTTTTACTATAAAACATACACAAAATGAAATCCAGTATACTAACTGCTAATGACTATACAGTGTGATGGAATCGAACGTGTTTATATCCTTGTTCAGCAGTCATTCACATTCATCTCCAAAACTTTCTAAAATCTCCCTTGTGCAGGTAACTGCCCACTAAGCACTGGCTCCTTGTTCTCCCTTTTCTGTACCCCTTGGAACCATTGGTTCTACTCTGTCTCAGTGAATTTGAACACTGAATCCTCCATAAAAGAGAAATCAAACGTGTTTGCCCCTGTCACTGACTTACTTCATTCAGCATGTTTTTTAAGGCTCATCAATATTTACTTTAAATTCAGGTTGTTTGTATTTTTCTTGTCGTTGAGTTGTGGGAATTCTTTACGTAGTCTATGTTTAAATGATTATCAGGTATAATTTGAAAGTATTTTCTCTGTTCTATGATCTGCCTTTTTACTCTTTTGATACTGTCCCTTGATGTACAAAAGTTTAAAATTTTGATGAATTCTTATTTATGTATTTTTTTTTCTTTTGTTGCTTGGACTCTTGCTGTTATATGCAAGAAATCATTGCTAAATTCAGTATCATAAGTTTTTCTCATGTTTTATTCTAGGTCTGTTTATTTTCTTGAAAGGCAGAATGACAAACAGAGAAAGACAAGCGTAATCTTCTGTCTGCTGGCTTACTCTTTAAACAGCCACAACAGCCAGATGTAGGCAAACTGCAATCAGGAGCTAGGAACCAGGAAGTCCATCCTGGCCTCCACATGCGCTCTCCTGCTGCCTTGGGAGGCACAGGAACAGGAGTCTGGAACGGAGGCGGAGCCACCAGGACCTTAATTGGCGCTATCTCCCATGTGAGATGCTGGTGTTGTAACCAGCAGCTTCATTTTGATATACCATCACTCTGGCCACCACAGTTACATTCTATCATTTTAATTTTTATGTGTTGTGATGCGAATGACACCAACTTCATTTTTTTGTTTTGTTTTGTTTTTGCCAGTATTCCCAAACATCTTCTTGTTGAAAACTTTCTCAGTGGAATGGTCTTTCCCCATTAATGTTTGATTAGAGATTTCACCTTTGTTGATTCTCAAAGTTGTAACTGTGATAAGTTTTTCTAAAGTCTTTCTTGTTACTGACATATATTAGAAGCTTAAAACGTGCTTATTTGTTCTTCCCTATTTTAAAATGAAAGGAAGAGCTTGCCAGATGTTTCTGTCACTAATAGAATCATTATGTATCAAGTGTTCTATCTTTTTATTAGTTTATTTAAATTTTGTGACCTCTTCGGTTTGAAATTTATTGCGTCTGAAACATGCGGGAACATTGGAACACATTGCCAGTATTTTAAATGAAGGCCCCTTTGAGGTCTGAAATTTCGTTTTTCTGTTACTTAGCCTTCTCTGGGGCTTTGATTCCTTTCTGTAAATTGAGAAGATTAAACTAAAGCTTTTGTCATGTATCTTGTAATGTGGAAATTCTACGCTCCTAGCACACCTAGGAATGATTTTTAGCAGTTGCTAAAAATTCAGTGAAGATTAGGAAGTTTCATCATGTAGTGTGAGCACATTAAAATTGGTATCCTCAGGATAGATTTTCTTTGTTACTTTGCAGTGTTGCTATTTTCTCTGTAGTTGAGCAGAAAAAGCCTTTAGTTTCAAAATATTATTGTGGTTCATTATATTATTCACCTATCTTTCTTATGCATTAGGAGAATGGTCATAAAATAAAGTATAATAAAATTGCCCATGAACTCAAAAATCTGATGAAAAAGAGAGGAGTGAATGAATACAGACACTTTCTGCTACAGCAGAGGGGCTTTTGGATACTATGCCCCAGATGTATCTTTTAGAGGCCTATTCTTGTATGCTGCCTGTGCATCAATAGATTAAGATTGCCAAAAAGCCATTTTTCTTTCCTCATCTCATCTATTGTGTTGATTGTAGCATTATAATCTTACGGGTTAAAGTGTACCCAGTTGTGACATGTTCTAATTCATTTTAAGTTGTAATTTTTTTGTGATTACTGTATTTGTCTTTGTTTATAACATGGAAATAAGATAGACGATAGTACTTATCAGGTGCTTGAAATATTTGTTTCAATTTTCCATCTCTTTAAAAAATGATTTTTTTAAGACTTATTCACTTGTTTTGAAAGCCAGGAAATAGGAGCTTCATCCTTTTCCCCATGTGGGCTTCAGGGTCCAAACATTTGAACTATTATCTGCTGCTTTTCCCAGGACATTCCCAGGGAGTTGGATCAGAAATGGAGCAGCCAGGATACAAACTGACACCTGTATGTGGTGCCAGTGTTGCAGGAGGTGATGTTACACAAGGCCAGCCTCAGAAAGATGTTTTAGTGAGAGTATTTTGTCAAGCATTGTTACAGATGCCAAGGGAAAAGATTAACTGTTTATAAATAATGATCCTTTAAGATCATCAGGAACTCATTCTCTTGGTGACACAGGGTGACTAGATGGGTAGACTGTGATGAGACTGGCTTCGGTAGTAGCTTAATTTCAAACAGTCTGAATGTGTTGTCATTGAGGCTAAATTATTACTGTTACATCACTGGTAAGAAACTGAAAGGGCATGCTACCTTTGGAACTTTCCATTTGAAATCTTGACTCCTGTCTTAAAATAGAGAAATGAAAGTCCTGGCTCTATTCATTATTACTTCAAATTTTAGTGGTAATTTTTTTGGGTTACCTCTGGTTAACTGGACAGTAAGTCTGGCACAGAGTGGCCAGATTGGGGAGTATTTGCATATCTTTATAGGGAATGTCCTTGCCTTACTCGCAGAGTTGGAAAGGCAAAGTCTATTTTAGAGTCTGATTTAGAGTTGGGTTAAAATAAAGAATGATGTGCTCAATGAGCTTCAATTCAAACAGAGGAAATTTAATGGGAAGTGATTACATTAGTAGCAGATGGACTTCCTTCCTGAATTTCAGGCTTCCTAGAGATCCTAAAACAGCTTAATTTATTTTTGAGATTTAGAGTCTGATTAAAAAAGAGAGAGATTTGTTTATTTGATTGTGGGCTATTGTGATTGTTATAATTTTGTTTGGATGTTTTATTTGCACTAGGCTATTTTTATGATTCCAACGAACCCACCACCAACATTCAGGAAGCCAGAACTGTGGTCTGATGATTTCACTGATTTTGTTAAGAAGTGCTTAGTGAAGAATCCAGAACAGAGAGCTACTGCAACGCAACTTTTACAGGTCAGTGATGGTAAGGGAAGGATATTTTCTTCATACCCTTTAGCTTTCTGACATTGATTAGAATTGTTGTGAGTTTCGTAACTATTTTAAAAGATTAAAACATCTCCAGAAAATATGGATGAAAGATGTTTACCTACACTGGCATGCATGCGTGCGCACACACACACACACACACACACACACACACACACATACTTATGTGTATTTTCTTGGTCCCACTTTTGTGTTTTCCACATTCATTCTCACTCCTCTTTAGCTTTGTATTGTTGTTGCAAACTCTTGACCCCTGAACTTGTTTTAAACAAAACTTACAAACTTCCTATTTCTGAAACAGGATGTCTCTATAGTTTCTGTTTCCCATATTTCCCTTGCATTCCTTGATCAGTGTATCTCCTTTGACTGTTCATTGCGTTATATGATATGTCAGTGCAAGATCCCTGAACTACCCAGAAACATTATCACATGTTGTAAATACTACTTATAAGAATATCTAAATGAACAGTTTTACTATCCCTGCTCCAAGTAGACTTTGTATTCAAAGTGTCAGGAAATATTTTTTTCAAAAAATCTACTTTGAAATTTAACACAAACAGACATTATTTAATACCTGCAGGCTTTTTTTTTTTTAGTTTAATTTTCTCAGCAGAATAACATCAGAATTCTGAGCTAGTAGTTTGTCTCACATTAGCAAAGTTTCATATTTACAAATTGATTCTTACTAAGTGACAGGAGGGTTTAAAATATGGCTGTTGTGACTTCTCAAGGTATCATTTAAAAATATTTTGTTGTAAGATACAAAAAACAAGACTCTTAAATGTGTGCTTATTATTAGGAAAATTTTATTTAGTACTCAGTTTCAATGGAAACCAGTTTAGCACTCTATCTATAAGAGAAACCTGTGTATTCCTTGACCCAACAATTACATTTCTAGGACAAACTTAGTCATATATGAAATAATATGTGTGTAAAAAATATTCATGTAACGTTTTAATTTAAAAAAAAAACGATTGAAAATGACCTAAAAAAGTGTCAGTGAACTGGAGACAGTTTAAGCAGAGCGATTTGAAAGCATGTCAACACATACAGGTGTACATGTATGAACATGTGTGTCAATGTGTTAGAATATCTCTGAGAAAATGGCCTCAGGAGGAAGGGCCCTGTGGGAGACAGACAGGCACGGCATCGAGACTTTCTCTGTGTACTCTTTGTGCAACTTTTAAATTTTGAGTCATGTATAAATATTACTTTTAATTTATGTGTAAATCATACTTTTCAATAATGAACTAATTTATTATTAAGAAGATAACTTGTAGGTTATATTATTTTTCCACCACAAAAATTGAAAAAAAAATTAATGAAACATTTGTCAAAGTGTTTTCATCATTCCAAAGGAATTTAAAGTGCGGAAGTCCAGGGCGTATTTGTTTTGTCTTAACTCATGAATAAATTATTCAGCCTAAAAGAAAGTAACAAAGAAAGAAAGAAAAGGCAATTCAAGACAAGTACGGCCAAACAAATGGCACAAAATAGGATGGTGAAAATACATCAAGAATATCTGATAATTAATTCTTGGATAAATATACCAATACTTCTGCCTTCCTGCAGACATTTCTAACTTTTTTGTTTTTTCCCCCGGTAAAAAATTCTGTTGCTCTGAACTCAGAGCTTTAGGATGGGAAAGTCTTCTCTATTTTTGTGAAGGAGGCTGCTGAGGCCCAGGAAGGCTCAGTGAGTCCCTGACACTTGACAGGGGCTAACTGATGGTGCTGGGTAGATTCTGGCTGCTCTGTACCTTTCCCCTCCTTGGCCCTCTGCCCACAGCAAACTGCCCTATGTGGGATGTGTTAACAAGGTCTGTGTGGATTTGGCATGGGCATGTTTCTTCATAATAATAGCAAGCAAAGCAACTTTTGTGTGCGTGTGCATGTGTGTGTGTGTGTGTGTAATGCTTACATGTAGTGCTTATTCACCAATGAATAAACTTATTTTGTTTGTTTACTTGCTTGCTTTTCATTTTTCTCTTCTTGATCAATGGTTCAATCCCTCTATTGTAGTATAATGTCTTTATCTGAGCCCTTGTAACCTCCCATGTTTTTCAATGATAATGAAGTGAAAGACCTACAATTTCTTATGCAAGCCTTGCATTTTCATTCCTTCCTACCTTTTCCTGTGTTCTCACTGTCCCCTGCCCCTGCTCCAATAGGTACCTGTTCTCCAACTGATTCCTTCTAATTCATGATATAATTTTTTCTAATTCAAATTAGATACTCCTCCCCACACACACACATCTTGCTCAAAACCTTTCCCATATTGGGATGAGGCTACTTGTTTCTGTTTGTAATCCTAAACTGTAACTAGTTTGGAGTCAGACTTTATCTGTTACCAGGAAACTACTTTTGCACTCCTACTATCTAGTTCATAATATGTGCGTGTTGAACTTAGTATGCGCCAATGCAATACAACAAACTCCTGACTTAATTTTTTTTTAGAACAGATAATTGTCTTTTAGTCTCATAATGTTTTTTTTGCCAGAATTTGGAAAGCTCTTTTGTGTATTACCCATTATGAGTTAAAATCCTAATTTAACTCGCAGAGGACAATGTTATACCAAATTTAAAAATCATACTATCTTGATTTCTAGGATCTAGTAAATAAACTTCTTTAAAAAAATTCATAATGATTATTTTTATAGTGATTCATTTTTCTGTGAGCCATATGTAAGGGATTGTGGAAATAATCATAAACTGGAAGAATCCTTTGAGACTAAGTGAGAATCTTAGTCGTTTTTAAAGAGGAGGAAGTTGAGTCCAGTGTAAGGACAAGGTTCACTGTTTGTATTTGAGTTCCTGGTCAGAAAGTGACCCTCACATCTGCAGCCAGGGACTTCATTCAGCCGGGAGCCCAGGATGGCCTCCTATGGGGCTGTTAGCCTGACAGTGATCTGCCACTATTCCAGTCAGCCCTGGGCTTGGCTATGGCAGGTGACATCATGGGGTTACCCGTGGTATAGGAGTTAACTCTCCTTTTTTTATCAGTTCAGCTGAGGTGTGGAAGCTCTGTCTCTGTTTCTCACCCTCTATTTATATGGTAATTGTCTTAAATACTTCCTCTATATACATTGGGAATCACATCAGTGTTATAAAATCTGCTTTAACCTTAAAACACAATTGAGGAAACTCAGAAGAAGGGAGACTGTACTGCTATTTTCCTGTTCTTGTTGGCTTTCCTGTTGGTCTCAGATTCCTTCATAGAGTGTTCCCGTTCTGTTCCTAGAGCTTCTTTAGCCATCTCCTTACGTAGGTCTGCAGGTCAGTGCTTCTTGCTAAGAGACTGTCTTGATCTTCTCTTACTAGTGAAGAATCTAGATGTGCTGTGGATACAGTGTTCTGGGTTGACAGCTCTGAAAAAATACATCCTCCCATTTTTCTTCTCTCACCTCCGTGGTTTCTTAGGAGAAACCTGCTGTCATTTGAGTGGCTTAGCCCTTGCTCTTTTAAATATGTTTTTCTTGACTCTGTCATTTCTGCCTTCTGCCATTGTTTATTTTCCAAAAACTTTATTTTTTTCATTATTTGTTCAAATGCTTTTTCAACTCCATCTTCGTTTACTTTCTTTGATTCCAGTTATGCAAATGTTAGCTCTTTTTTGAAAAACATCTTATTTTGAAAGAATGAGAGCAAGTGAACGAGAGAGAGCAGCCACCTGCTAATTCACTCCTAATGTCCATCTTGGCCAGGGACTCAGTTTGTGTTTCCCACCTGGGTAGCAGGGGATGGAGAACTTGAGTCATCATGTGCTGCCTCGCAGAGCTGTTAGCGGAAAGCTGGCTCACCGGCAGGAGTGGGATGCAGTCCCAGACGCTCCAGCACGAGCTACAGGCGTCCCAAGTGGCAGCACCTGTTCTAGGTCTCTGATTTTATCTTAGTATTAGGTAGGTGCTGGAAGCCCCAGTAAGTTTGCTCTCTATTGTTCACATGAACCTTCATTGCCTTCTAGAATTTAATCGGTTTATCTTTTTCTTGTAATACTTTGAAAAAGTCCTTCATGTTATTGAAAGCTTGTCTGGTATAAGTGTCATAAACATAATTTTTAGTTTGTGTTTTTTCTTTTTTGTCGTTCATGTCTGTAGTTTTTGTTGCCTATACTGCCATGCTATTATGCCCAATTTAGAGCTATGTCTCCTAATTTTAAAAATCATGTTATTCATAATGTCCTTTTATGTTTTCCTAGTACTATATTGTCCATTTTAAATTTTGATGCAAGTTCTTGTAGCTGTGCCTTTTATGGAAACATGAATTGGGTTTATTTTATAAAAGTGTATTTCACATAGAGAACATGTCATGGTATTTATGTTGTGAACTAAATGAACCTTTGTCTTTAAGTATTTAACTAACACAACACTTTATTAGTGGAAATTCAACCCATTTATTTACACTGCTATGCTAATACCATTTTTATTACATTGTCACATTTTAATTTTGCTATCTTATTTTATTGCCATCTTTTTATGCTACTTTACATTTTTAACTTAAGCATCTGGTACTTTTTTTTAGCCTTTAAAATATGCTTTAAAACTGTCAATATATTTGGTAAAGTTTAGCTTTGACTATCAAGAGTGCTTAAATGACTTGTTTGTCAAGTGCCCTTTTAGCTTTAGTAGCCAGTTCTCTTGTTTGTCACAGTTGTGTCTGCAGCAGCTGTGTAAAGAAAATGGAAGTGCAAATTACATGGCACATACCGCGATACTGAGATTCAGAGTGTGAAACTGTGCAGACTAATGGCAGTAGAGCAGTTGTAGTGAGTTCGTATACTGGACTTCCTGGAAACAAGGTCACGGCAGGCAGGGTGAACCTGGGATGCAGCTGGCCGTTTGTCCTTGCCTCACTGTTCCCTGCATCCGAACTCACAGAGCCCGTGTCTCGGAACGCTGCTTCTGCTTTGGCTAAGCAGTTATGCCTGCTGGGTCCTGGCCTTCTTTCCCATCTTTGCTTCCTTGTCCACATTGTTCACACTGTTCTTTCATAAATTAATTCATCTCTTCTCTAGGGGCGTGTGTGATTATCTAACTCCTTTTTCTAGTTTTACGTTTCTTAGTGATGTAGGCTTAGAGCTGCACCATGTTGAACGCAATTTGCATGTCATATTGTAGTTGTTAAAAATACATCTATCTTTCAATCATAAATTATCTAAGGGACAAGATCAGATCTTTTTTTTTCATTTTGTTTGCTTTTGGGGTGATCTTTCTACTAGTGGTCTCCACAATTTTCTGAGGAGCAGTACTTTCTTGTTGCCCTGCCATACTCTAGGACACATCTTTGTTTTTTATAATTGTTCAAAGTTTAGTCACAAATACCTGTCATTTTCCAACTTAGCACAGAAGTGGGGTAGACTTGGCGCTTTGCACACCACGGAGCGGAGTGTGATACTGACACTCACACTCTGCGGATGGGAGCTTAGTCATGCAAGCACACCCAGCTGACAGGGACCTTGAGGGGCCATGTTGGTAACCAAGCCACTGCAGCTCCACTCACAACTCTGCCTTTTGGTGAATGTCCAGGATTGTCCACCACACAGATATGTTAATAGAACTTGACTTATCTAGTAATTAATCTACAGCAGTTGTAAAACATTTATTGGTTCTTTACAATCAATCCTAGTATCTGTGTACTCTGGTAAAATTCTTCCTTATGACTTTTTCAAATGATTTATTTTCCATTTTAAAGACTCTTCCAGATGTTTATAATTCCTTCTTCAGCACTAATTTTTTCCTTTGATTATGTTTCTGTGTGCTGTTGATGTTTATTAAAATAGGCAGCTTTTATCTGACGTATCTGCTATAGTCTAATGGAGGAACATATGTTTTTGAAGCTAGATTGCTGTCCCCAGAAAGGTTATTTATCTCAAATTATAATTATAACCTTCTCCCCAGCTGAAAAAACAAAAACAAAACAAAACAAAAAGGTCCATTCTGTTGGCTTTCTTTCTGCTATCCAAATATTTAATACAACAGAACCTCAGCGATATTATATAAATGAGGGTTATATAAAAAAGAGGTGTACTAAGTTGTTTTTTATGTAGTATATAAATGAGGACATACATATTTTTAAAGATTTTTCTGTACTCACTGAAAAAGATTACTCAAAACACAAAAATTAGAACAGATTAAAGAGGTGATGAATTAATTGTACTTCTTTTGACTATTGATTTTGACTGCTTGTTAAGATTAAAATTTTAGCTCTGTACAAAAAAATGTTTATTTTGTAATTTATTTCACAATCTTTTTTTAATTGTTACTATGTAATGTGCAGTTCCTTGCACAATTTTAGGTTTAAGGATGAGTAATTTTTTATTAGCAGAGCTACATTTCTATGTGTTTGTTGTAAGGTTTTTGGAAAACAAGTGAATGGAAAAACAATCTCTATTTCTAAAGAATCTGAAATATTCTTTTCTTAAACTTCACATTTAATTCTAGAAGAAAAGCAGCTACTGGAACCTTTGATTTTTGGTTTTGTAATTATATACTGTATTAATAGATGTTAGTTATAATTCAGAAAAATAATTTGAATTTCTACCATCGAATCTTCCCTTTGTAGCATCCTTTTATCAAGAATGCAAAGCCAGTGTCAATATTAAGAGACCTGATTACAGAAGCCATGGAGATCAAAGCTAAGAGACATGAGGAACAACAGCGAGAACTGGAAGAAGAAGAAGAAAATTCGGTTCGTAATTATCCTGAAAAAGTTGTGACTGTAATGAATCATTTTTTCTCTAATTTTGCTTCTTTAAATATATTAGTAGCACTTATTATTTTATTATTCAAGCAAGCCATGTTTCTTTTAGAATATATTTTCTGTGTTAAAATTTTTGCTATCTGGTATCCAATGGCTGCCCTTCATATTGGGGTGCAGAGGCATTTGGGAGGCTGGGTGTGTCTTCTCTCCTTATCTCCTCCTTTGCCCCAGATACAGGAAGGAAAAAAAGAGACTATGGAAATTGTGATCTCACCCAACTCCCTGTAGTTCTTTACCCTATTCACCCAAATCAACTATGTAAAAATCATCAAAAATAACAAAAACTAAAGATCAAAAAAATTACATCACATTGCCCAGAAAAAAAATTTTTTTTTGCTATCCTTTTCTGATGTCCTAAGGATTAATGATTAGTGGGGCATAATGTTGATATGAGAGCAGGATTGTGCATTGTTAGTAGGTAGTTGACATGAGCTGTCAACAGTTGTTTGGAGTCTGGGGAGTTGTGTGTCACGTCTTCTGTAACTTTTTTGAATGAGTCATCACTGCGCTGGTGAGGAGTACCACAGTAGAATACTTGGCAGGGTTCTAGGTGGAGCAGGAGGACATCAAAGGACATGGCACATTAAACCAGCTTATCCACTGGCTTTATGTTGATCTTTCACTGCAGTTTAATAACAATCATTGTATTTATGTATCACATTGTATTTAATGCTCCTGTTCTATGCTAATGTTTTTTCCTTTGTATTTCATAAAGTTTTTTTCTAGGTTAAGATGTAGTGATGAATCTTCTTTGATATTGGATATCAAAGAATAATTACTTGCATAACACCATTTAATATTTTACTTGAGAGGTTTATTTTTTTCAACGTTTCTGATATGCGCAAATAGAAGAAATTGCATTATTTTGTCCATTTAAATTTGGTTTTAGTTTCAGAGACTCATCATCCAATTGGGAATATTTTTGAAATTCTTTACCCTTCATTAGTTCTTAAATTTGTGGCATTTGGTAGCCCAGGACAAAAAGAAGGGTATATCTTACAGCTTTGATTCCTAGTCATTTTTCTAGATGTGTAGCTACATGAACTACTTATTGATAATCATGGTGTATTTCCAAGTGAGACAGAAGTTTTGGACTAGATATAAAATCTTTCACTAGTAAGTTAATCATTCACATTTTTTTCTATTAAAAAAAAGTCAGATTTACAGGATGAAGGAGATACAGAGAGAAAGATCTTCCATCTGCTGGTTTACTCCCTAAGTGACTGCAGCGGGTGGAACTGAGTCTATTTGAAGCCAAGATCCATGAGCTTCTTCTGGGTCTCCCATGTTGGGACAAGGTCCCAAGGCTTTGGCCCATACTTGACTGCTTTCCCAGGCCACAAGCAGGGAGTTGGAGGGGAAGCATTGCCTCGGGATTAGAACTGGCACTCATATGGGAGCCTGGCAGATGCAAGGCAAGGACTTTAGGCACTAGGCTACCATGCTGGACCCCATCATTCCATATTTTAAATATTGTCCCCTAAAGTTGCTTTTTCATTACCTCACAGCTGTGTATTAGTTCTATCGAGGTAAATAAATTAATCGATACCTGTAAATCTTGGTTTTTTGCTCTTGGGTTTTTATAGTTCCTGCTCTGGGTTCCTATTGATATAGGTACATTTTCTGATTTCTATCAGTTAATAATATAAATGCTCATTTTTAATGAAGTTTTGTGAGTTTAAAAGTACTTTGTATATTTTATTTTAACCTTATAAAAGTAATATTAATCTTATTATTATTATTATTATCCCATTTTTGCTTTTGAGATAGGTGAGTTGCCATAGTTTACCATGCTAGTAAGGAATCAAGACAAAAATTGGATTTTTTATTTTCAAGCTTCCTGCTCTTTCATTAATCCTTTGCAGCTCATTTTTTTTTCAGTAAAATATTTACTACTCTCTAAAAATAATCACCATTAATTTATCATAGTTATATCATGTATGAGAATGTTATGTTGTCAGCAAACCTACTTCTGCTCCTCTGTAATTCTACTCGTTGCCTTTCCTTCAGCATATGTGCATTTCTGGCGAGGGCTGGACCCGTGAATGGCCGCCAGCTCTTGGTGGACGCTTGATTGCTTTACTTGTCGGTATCATGCTATGCTGGCTAATAGAAAAATTTTCTCTTTCTGTTGAATAAGATACTTTGTGGGCTGCTCCATATTTTACCCATAAATAAGTCCTTGCTACCATCATTTTAAATACTCTCTGCTACTCTAGTGATCTCTTTCTTTACTGTCTCCCTGTGCTTCACCAAGCCCCAGCAGTACTGCTCTTTCAGACGTGTTTATTTTTTAATATGCCCAACACATTTTTATCCATGGCCTTTCCATGTGCTATCATATTCTCTTTGCTGCAAATACTCTTCTTCAACCCAATACTCATGAAATGCCTCGGTTCTCTTCTGAGTCTCAGTTCATAATATTGTGTACCATGTACTTTAGACTCTTAAAATATTCTTATCTCATTTTATCAGTAGATCAGTATTTTAGGAGTGGCTTACTTGGGTGCTTCTTGCTCAGGGTTTCATGAAGTTGCGTTCTGAGTGTTGATTGGAGCTGTTGTGATCTGAAGGTTTGACAAGGGCCTAAGGGCCCCACTTCAAAGATGGTTCATTCACCTGACTGTTGGAAGGTTGCCTTTGTTCCTTGTGTTAACCTCTTCATAGGGTCACCTCTTCAGGACAAGGCTGCTAAGCTGACTTCCTGGGTGAGTGATGCAAGAGGGAGAATAAGAAGGAAATCTTGCTGTCTTTTATGATGTAGATTCAGGAGTTACATGCGGTTAACTCTGCCATTAGTGCAGGGCGCTTCAAGAACTGGTACCTCTACAAAAGACACAGTAAGTTGGCAGAAATTGACAAAGCAACTTTTTAAAAAACTCTAGAATCTAATAACAAAAAACTTAGGCAAAAAGGAAGGTTAAATGAAGAAAGGACCTGCTAGATTTGAGTCAGAATGTCTCCCATCTCCATTCCGTAGCTGGCAGCATTACAGTTTTCCTGGGATAGCTTGCTGGTGTTGGGATAGGGATACTCATGGCCTTGCTTTTGCATTTGCACTTTGATTTATCTGATAGCTCTCTAAGAGACCAGGACAGAAGCTTGGCTTTTGTTTCTGTTGAGGTATAGCAGCTTCCTGCATAAAAATCTTTCAACATATAAATTTACTAGAGGTAAAAACAAATTCAACAAAATTTCAGTGTACAAGAACAATGCACAGAACTCAATGCTGTTTCTGTGTATCAGCATTGAGGAGTACAAAAGTGAAGTTATGAAAAATAATTTTTATATTACTATCAAAAGGTAAAATATATAAGAATAAATTTAATGAAGGAAATGAAAGACTTGTACGGTGAAAAGTAGAAAATTCAGTTGGAAGAAATTGAAGAAAACCTAAAGAGAAAAATAGCTGTTCAAGGATTGAAAGATTTAATATTAAGATGGTAGTAATCCTCAAAGCAGTACACAAATTAATATAGTTTCTATCAAAATTTTCTTGTTCCTCTTTATAGAAGGGAGAAAGCCAGTCCTCCAATTCTTTTGGAATTGTAAGAGGCCACAGATAGCCAAACATATTGAAAAAGAAGAACAGAACAAAAACTTTATGCAAAGCTGGAGTAGTCAAAATCAATGTTGTAAGAACCATAGGAAGGCCAATGGAATAGAAGATGAAACTTGCCATTGCTAAGTCTCTGTTGATTTTTTGCAAAGTTGCTGAAATCATTCAATGGGAAATGAATGAATGGTTTCTTCATCTGGTAGTGTGGAGACAGCTGGACAGCTGCCAGTAAAAAGAGAATTGCTTTTCATCATATACAATGACCTTTTCATGCGTGGTCAAATTAGATGGCTTGGTGACTTAAATATAAAACCTAAAACTTTAACTCTCTTAAAAGATATAAAAGGGTCAAATATTTATGACTTTGAGTCTGGGGATTCTTAGATATGATACTCAAGCATGAGTAACAGAAGAAAATAAATTGGATGTCATAAAAGTATTAAAAACCTGTAGGAATCAAAGGATATTGTCAAGAAGCAAAAAGAGGTAAAATGAGAGAGCATATTTTTAAGTTACACTGATAGAAAACAAGCAACATAGGTAAAAATTAAGTGGAAGACTTCATTAGACATTTCTCCAAAGACATACAAATGACCAATAAACACATAAAATGACACCCAAGCTCATTGGTTACTAGGGAAATGCAAGCCCAAATTAAGTGAGATTCCACTTCAAACCCAGTAAGTATCCTCTTACACACAAAAACACAAGATCATGAGTGTTTGTGGAGATACAGCAGAATTGGAGACTTTATACTTTAGCAGTGATAATATGAAATGGTGCAAATGCTGTGGAAGACAGTTTGGGAGTCCCTTAGAAAGTTCAACACAAACTCACTCTGTATGTCAGTAATTGCACTCACAAGAACTGAAAATAGGTACTCAAAAAGGTATTTGTACGCAGATGTTCATAGATCACTATTCAAAATGGCAAAAAGGCAGAAACCCAAATGTGCATCCACTCAGGAAGAGGAAACTTGTGATGTATAAGTATAATGAAGTAATCTACAGTAGCATGAAAAAAGAATAAAGTATTGCCATATGCACAGTATGGACAACCCTTGAAAACATTACCTTGAGTTAAAGAGCCAAGCAAAAATGGCTCCTGTTACGTAACGTATCATGAGTAGGTCAATGCACAGTGACAGAAATCAGATTGATGGTTGTCAGAAACAAAACAGCTAATGATGGCTAAGGAAGGAGATGCTATTTTCTTGAAGAGTGATAAAAATAGATTCATACTGGATAGAGGTGATGGTGCCATGTTTTAATATTGTCTGTGAAATTTGCCTCAGTCAAAAAGGTGAAGAAATCATTGATTCTGATCCACATTCATTTATTTGGGAATTAAGCAGCATTTTTAAAAAGAT